ATCTGGAGCAGCACGTCATGAACGGGAATTTGATGTTTCGGGAGCTGGCCTCGATCAGAATATGCAAAAATGTACCTGGCGTGGCGTGATGTAACGTTGGGCCCTGGTGTGAGGAATGAAGTGTGCATGTGCGTGTGTTGAACTTCTTTCGCACCGTACGTAGCCAACCGCGCTAGTTGGAGGTGCGGTGTATGTACGTTGAACTTTTTTCGCACCGTACGTAGCCAACTGTGATAGTCGGAGGCGCGGTCCCTCCCTGTCCAATTTATCCCCCCCCCCCTCCTCCCCTTCTGAGCCTGGCTCCAGGGCCTCTCTGCCCGGTGGGCCTTGCCCTGGGGCCCTCCGGCTCGTGGGCCTTGGTGCAATTGCACCGCCTGCACCCTCACCGGCTATTGGACATCAGTGAAAAAAGAGCTTTATAGCTCATCGGATTCCTCCAGTATACACACAGATTCAGATTCTATGCAGTTGCTATTCAGTCACACTGCCTAAATGTAATTTACGTTTTTTTTAAAACTTTAGAATGTATTGAACGCACACGCGTTGACGAGAGCTAAAGTCAGGACCTGTATTCAGCCGGGTCTCTTCTGGTCGGCAACCCGGCTCAAATGCCTGCACCCGGCACACCACTTCCAGTATACCTATCGCTATGGCCGTGGCCACTCGTACAGCTCGCACCTTCCTCATTCTACCTGCGACCTGGAATACATTCGGTGAGAATTCAAAGCCCGTGTAAACCCCAAGACGCAAATACAAGGTGTGTGTGTGTTTACATTCACGCACAGCTCAGCGTAGTCTGTGGTCTCGCACAAGACAAAGATCCCCCGTATGGCCATAACAGACTGTTGGGGCAAGTGCTGTTCGCGAGCACCTATGAAGGCCGGCACGGCACACGTGGGGGTGGGTTGGGGAGCACCACGCCCGGCCGCCTTTGTCTCCCCGGTGGCGATGTATACACATCGCACCAGGTACTCATTTGAGGCCGAGTCGACCTAGGGGAGGCCCAGGACCGGTTCAGATAATCGTCACCGGTGTTGGCCGTGAGCGGGAATCGAACTCGGGATGCTGGGTTCGTAGCGCAGCGTGGCGTTAACCACTACACCACCGCCCCCCCACCCCACAAACGACAGCAACACTCTAATTGCACAGAAGGAGATTGGCTGACTCGTGTAACCATCTGTAACGGTGCGTTGGTGTTTAGGGAAAATATAACAGATGGGGCTTGCGTTCTATACATCAGCTGAAATGTGATAGGACCCTGCAGAAATGTTGTCGGTAAGACCGCCGGAAATGTTTATTCATTCTCTCTCTCTCTGGTGCGAGCGCGCAAGCCAAGCGGAGCCTGGGGCAATGCTCAAAGGCACAGTCTCGCACGAGGCTCAAAAAGCACGCGCCGTTGTACAGCCTGCGAGGGACGCGTAATTATTTCGGGGTGGGAGAGAGAGGGGGGGGGGGGTCATAGGGTCATCTGCCTAATCCTCATGCAAAGGTATAAAGGTTGCAGCCCTGCAATTACGTTGTGAGTAGGAAGTCCGAACACTTGTAATTATCGTGAACCCTGACGAGTCCAGTCCATCGCGGACGCTCGCTGCTCACGCTCGCCAAATTCTTTGGACGAACGACGCTGTTTTTGTTTTAGCTCAGTCGCAAAACAACCGGACGAGACCCGAGGATGATGGACCACGACCATCTGCCGCCAGTCGCTGATTCCAGATCTTCTGGAGCCGGTGACCCCCCCCCCCCCTTTGGTGAAACTGTGGGTGGGGGGGGGCAGCAGCAGCTGATCGTCAGGGGCCGCTGCCACTGCTCACGCACAATGCTGCTGGTGGAAAGGCCTCCGCTAGGGGCATCGACCTTTAGAGGTCACGGGTGGCTAACTCCTCTAGGCTGGCCGGACAACTGGGCCAGACGAGGGGGAAGGGGTTTACCAAAACTTTTCCCAACCGCAAGCAACCTGCCGGTGGACTTAACTTCGTGTGGACCCATTTATACTGCTGTGTGGACAGGCCGGCGTGGGGCTGGGTTGGGCGGGGGTTAAGAAAGTAGTCTCGTTTCTCCTGCCGCGCCGGGAGATTTGAATGCAAGCGGCGAGCTCCTGGACCGGCGAGCTGAGTGGTGCTTGCTCACCCACTGCCCCACTACGGCAGGACCCTTCCTCACGAGTATGATCCACTCGTAGATGCCCCACTGATTTCGAGTGCCACCCCCCCCCCCCACCTCTCGCTGGCTTTTCGACAGGTGACCGAATTTCGATTTGAAGCTTTCCTGACTGCAGGGATTCATCTTCTTGGTTCTTTCGGTAAAGTCACGTATAATGGAAAAAAAAATATTTTATTATGAATTATATAATAATTTTATTAAAAATAAAACATAATAAAATATTTTATTATGTTTTATTTTTTATTTTATTATTTCCATTTTACGTGACTTTACCGAAAGAACCAAGAAGAGGTGACCGAATGTTGCGAAAGTGATGGCACTTCCTGTGATGTCACATTGTCCGGATCAATAATTTTAATTACATTTTTTGGCGGGGGATAATTAAAATGTTTACATCTGGGCCCAATTTTTTCAAAATAAAATAGAGATTTTTCTTTTCGATTCGTGCAAAAAAAGAAAGATGTGAGCGCGTCCCGAACTTGCACGTCACTCACACGCGTGATGAATCCGCACTTAACTTGAATGGCACCTCGTTGCGTTCACGTGGGATAGACACGTACACAACAATCACGCTACCCCCCCCCCCCCGCGACAACGCAGGGGGGACGGGTTAACTTGTTAACGCGCTGATGACCCCATCGCCCTCCCTCCCTTGTTAACACGCTGATGACCCTCACCCTCCTTGTTAACGCACTGATCACCCCCGCCCCCCTTGTTAACACGCTGATGACCCCCGCCCCCCCCCCCGCTTGTTAACCCGCTGATGCCCCCCCGCCCCCCCCCCCCTTGTTAACGCACTGATGCCCCCCCGCCCCCCCCCCTTGTTAATGCACTGATGCCCCCCCCTTGTTAATGCACTGATGCCCCCCCCTTGTTAACGCGACCTTGTGCAGTCCCACTTGGGCCCCTTTTCTCCTTCTCACCTCAACATTCACAGAGCACAATTCATAGAACAAAGATAAAAAAACAGACGAAGATCCCCCTGTGATAGCCACACCCGACTGTCTGGGGTAAAACGCCTGCGAGCGAGCGCCTGTGACCGGCATCCACGCACGGCCGCCTTTGTCTCCCCAGTGCTGCTATTCACACACCGCACCACACAAGTACTCGGGCATCACGGCTGCGTGGAATCTAGTGCAGCGCGCTAACCGCTGCGCCACCGCTCCCCGCCCCCCACACACACCCACACACATTCTACACTACGCACCGCACACACACACGTGTCATGTCTTCACCTTCCACAATGCATATATCCACCGCTCGGGATGCATGCCGGCCACGCACTCTACATGACCACGTGTCCCATACAACGTCTCGTTTCCCCCTTACTGGATGACGGAGCGATGGTGATGCGCGCTGAGTGTGAAACTCGGCTACCGGAGCTGTTATCTATCCGCTGCTGGATGGGGGGTATCTTCCCCACGGGGCTGCTGTTTCACCGCACCGGTCAGCGCGAGGGTTGAAGGGGGTGGGGGCTGAGGATTTGACGTGAGGTGAGCAAGTACAACAATTTGTTTAGCTGCACAGACCTCCATGCAAGCCACCACCCCCCCTCCCCAGATTACATACTACACACGTGTAGCACCGTATACACACGCATTTTTATACATATGCCAACAGTAAGTACGCATGTCATTCGCGCAACTATTAAAGCGCAAAAGCGATGGTTTCACATTGAACAAGAATTACGTTGGCGACGCGAATGAACGGAGGCCACGGGTTCGCAGCGCGAGCAAGGGGGTGAACATTTTATGAAAGAAACAAAAAATTCCCGACGATTCCGACGGAACAGGCGGCACCGTTGAGCCGAGATTTGACGCGGACGTCTCTCGACAAGAAGCGGGGAGAAACATCCCAGGCAGCAGCCCACGCGGCTGGCATTGTTTTTATTCATACTCTTAGTTTTTTCGGTAAAGTCACGTAGGTAAAAAATGAAATTAAAATTAATAATAATAATAAAAAATCACGACGTTTCGGAGGCAACGCGAGTCTCCGTCATCAGGTGGCACCGTCACAGCCAGATTTGCTGTATCAAGTGAGGCAGCGATTCCAAGATGCAAGCTCTTAAATACAAGTTAAGGGGGGGGAGAGGGGGGGGTTTATCAGAATGTGGTAGCCAATGAATGGAACGTATCGGGAGGGGGGGGTGTGACTTTACCGAAAAAACTAAGAGTATGAATCCTTGCAGTCACGAAAGCTTCAAATCTAGCATTGTTTTTATTGTGTTTTAATGTACCGCGCACAACGCCAAAACACGAGCTCACGGCGCGACACCGAGAGGTGGCCGATTATTATTATAATGATGATGATGATGAAATCATCGAGAGTTAGATCGTTCCACGGGGGCTTCCTCTCGGTGCCTTTGAGATGAGGAACATCGTACCCTTAGGTTTTTTTTCGGTAAAGTCACGTAGGTAATTTTTTTTTAATTAAAATTAATGAAAGTAAAAATGTTACTTTTATTAATTAAAATTTTTAAAAAATTAAAATTAATAAAAGTAAAAAATACAAGTAAAAATCTTCTTGGTTCTTATAAAACATTATTATGTTTTATTTTTATTATTTTATTACTTCCCTTCTACGTGCCTTTACCGAAAGAACCAAGAAGATGAATCCCTGCAGTCACGAAAGCTTTAAATCGAAAATTACAAATTTTACTTTTATTAATTTTAATTTTTTACCTACGTGACTTTACCGAAAAAAATCCCCTAAGAATATGAATCCTTGCAGTCACGAAAGCTTCAAATCTAGAACATCGCACCGTCCCTAACCTCCCACCCCCATTACCCACACCCGAGACGTGGTGACTTCGTGCCGGGCCACGGCGGCGATGCTCTCACCTCACCCACGCCCGCTTGGACGATCTTCACCCGACTCGCGTCCTCCAGCCGCCTCCTCTGCTGCTCTGCAAGATCGGCGGCACACAGATAGCACGCGCCCCATCGCGTCGGGACGTGATTATCACGCACGCGTGATGTGTACAGAGAGCGTGTGGTGTGTACAGAGAGCGTGTGGTGTGTACAGAGAGCGTGTGGTGTGGAGTGGGTGGTGTGTACAGAGAGCGTGTGGTGTGTACAGAGAGCGTGTGGTGTGTACAGAGAGCGTGTGGTGTGTACAGAGAGCGTGTGGTGTGAAGTGGGTGGTGTGTATAGAGAGCGTGTGGTGTGTACAGAGAGCGTGTGGTGTGGAGTGGGTGGTGTGTATAGAGAGTGGTTGGTGTGTACAGAGAGCGTGTGGTGTGTACAGAGAGCGTGTGGTGTGTACAGAGAGCGTGTGGTGTGGAGTGGGTGGTGTGTATAGAGAGTGGGTGGTGTGTACAGAGAGCGTGTGGTGTGGAGTGGGTGGTGTGTAGAGAGTAGGTGGTGTGGTGTGTAGAGAGAGCGTGTGGTGTGGGTGGTGAGTGTAGAGAGTGGGTGGTGTGGTATGTAGAGAGTGGGTGGTGTGGTGTGTGTAGAGAGTGGGTGGTGTGGTGTGTATAGAGAGAGTGGGTGGTGTGGTGTGTATATGGAGCGGGTGGTGTGGTGTGTGTAGAGTAGGTGTTGTGTGTGTAGAGAGTGGGTGGTTGTGGTGTGTGTAGAGAGTGGGTGGTGTGGTGTGTAGAGAGAGCGGGTGATGTAGCGGCGACCGCTGCGCTACGAACCCGGCAACCCGAGTTCGATTCCCTGCTCACGGCCAACACCAGTGACGATTATCTGAACCGGTCCTGGGCCTCCCCTAGGTCGTTTCAGCCTCAAATGGGTAGCTGGTGCGGTGTATAAACATCGCCAGTGGGGAGACAAACGCGGCCGGGCGTGGTGTTGGCCACCCACCCCCTCGTGTGCCGTACCCGTCTTTATAGATGCTCGCGAATAGCACTTGCCCCAACAGTCTGTTCAGGCTATACGGGGGGTCTTTGTCATTATATATATATAGAGAGACGATCATGGCGTTGCGCAAGCCGGCAGGTATGCAAGCGTGGGCAGGAAGCTGTCAATGTGTTCACACTCACCCACACTCTCACACGTACAAAGACAAAGATCCCCCGTATAGCCCTAGCAGACTGCCGGGGCAAGTGCTATTAGCAAGTAGCACCTATGAAGGCCGGCAAGACACACGACCAGGCAGGCAGCCAGCAAGCCACGCCCGGCCGCCTTTGTCTCCCCAGTGGCGGTGTTTACACACCCCACCAGGTACTCATTTTGAGGCTGAGTCGACCTAGGAGAGGGCCCATGACCGGTTCAGATAACACGATGTAACACAATTTTTGTTCCTGGGTACTAAGTGTTATTTTTTAATTGTTTATACCTAAAAAGTATATAAAATGGCTATTATTGCCCACAAACTTTGCTTTTGTGACCAGGACTTTATGTGAACGAATGACACAAATGCGCACCACGTTTTCTCATTAAAAATAGGTACATTTCAAAATATCACTGTCCTGGTCACAAAAGCAAAGTTTGTGGGGAATAAATCGTGATGTTCAGTAATTTTGAGGCATAAGCAATTAGGAAATAACACTTACTACCCAGGCACAAAACACGTTTGTTACACGGTGTTCTTAATGGAGTGGATTATACTGTAATCCCTCTCATCCCACTGGTGCGCAGTCAAAATCGCTCCTCGCCGTTCCCCACCGTCGGTTGCCGATGGACAGCCGAACGTGGAGATACATGAAAACCCAGTAGCTGTATGAGAGCGGTCTGGAACTCTGATGGGACTTCAAACGAACATAACCAAAAAAGCCACGATATTTGTCATTGATACGACGTAGAGAGACGTAGATCGGGAGGGCCCGCTTGTGATTAGCTTTGACGGCCAAATGCTCCGCAAACCCGCGGAGAGTATTTTTTTTGTTGTTTTAAGGATGAACACCGAGGGCGTCTGTGCGGCGAGCGTGACGATCTCGTCGGGCGGCGGAGGCTAAACGGCACAATTCTGGCATAAAACAAACGGGGCCACGTGTGTGCGTGGCCTAATAACCCTCCCCCCACCCCGAAATGAAGAGTGATCGACTAGACGTGACGATAATTTTTTTTGCTGTGAAAGTAAAAACCGTCACGACGGAGGTGCGAGGCAGCGTTTGTGGGGTATTTTTACAATCGTGGTATTTTAATAATACTAGATTTGAAGCTTTCGTGACTGCAATGATTCATGTTCTTAGGTTTTTTTCGGTAAAGTCACGTAGGTAAAAACATAAAAAAGTAAAATAAAATAAAAATCACGACGTTTCGGAGGCAACACAAGCTTCCGTCTTCAGGTGGTACCGTCACAGCCACGACAGCTGTATGAAGTAAATGAGCTCTTGATAAAGCTGTCGTGGCTGTGACGGTACCACCTGAAGACGGAAGCTTGTGTTGCCTCCGAAACGTCGTGATTTTTATTTTATTTTACTTTTTTATGTTTTTTTTTACCTACATGACTTTACCGAAAAAACCTAAGAATATTTAATAATACTCTTTGGTTCTTTCGGTAAAGTCACGTATAAAGATAAAATAATAAATTAAATAATAGCATACTATGACGTTTCGATTGCAACACAAGCAATCATCATCAGGTATAAAAGAAATAGCAACAAGAATCTAACCAGAAAACTATAGACAGACATATAAGCAGGCAGATATCACAAAGATACATAGAGAGAGAACACACATCGGCACACAGAGGATGATGATTGCTTGTGTTGCAATCGAAACGTCGTAGTATGCTATTATTTAATTTATTATTTTATCTTTATACGTGACTTTACCGAAAGAACCAAAGAGTAATTCCTTCACTCACGAAAGCTCCAAATTAAGATTTTAATAATAGCCAGGCACGTGGGTTTCATTCGACGTAGAGCATTTTGCAAATACAGGGGTGGCCCACATATGGTTATTTTATTAATTTAAACACTGGCATTCATAACAGTTGAATTGTTAATTCTGAAAGTTTATACTTGATTTATTATCATGTAATCTAAAAAAAGGTCCTAAATTAATTTCAAAAGAGAATTCATGCATCGTGCATTATTGATAGTGGAAGTCATTTTGGAAACATTTGTCAAAATGAATGAAAACACCCAATGTGATGCGTTAAAATAAATATCATAACCCTATGTGTCCTGACGTTTAGGCCACCCTGCATGCCATATTTACTGAACGTATTGTGCCCGTTTATAGTGACATATCCCCTTTGCTCTCGGATACGTGTGTGGTTGTGCGCCCGTTTTCCTTAAGGTTTCACTTAAAAGTCAAAAAAAAAATCCGAATCCAATCGATACAGCAAAATATCGCTTTTACAGTCATTCTAATTATTTGTTGCACAGATAGTGCTGCTGCTGCTGCATTGCCTGTGGTGCACGGGCACAATTAACAACAATTACAACAACATGTCCGTCAATAGCAATGTGTGTCCTTCAAAATAATCAATAAAATAATAAATATAAAAGGTGGGTAAGATGGCCCTCCTTCACGGCGCAAAGCAAAACATGACGCATTCGTCAATTGCATCGCGAGCCACCTACACAAAAAAAAACAGGCGACGTTTCGGGCAATGGCCCTTCTTCGTAGCATGCGAAGGGGCATCGCCCGAAACGTTTTTTTCGTTCTGGCTTCTGCTTGCCATTGCTCATTCACGGCAGTCGCGTGTTTCATCGCGCAGCCACCGTACTGCGACGTCCCGAAATCGCTCTCCACGTAACTCTCCACTGACGCGGCAGGAGGGAGGTGAGTGGATTTGCCGGCATATAAGAATTAGGTTTCATATTCTTAGGTTTTTTCGGTAAAGTCACGTAGGTAAAAAATAAAAATAATAAAAGTAAAATAAAAATTTTTATCACGACGTTTCGGAGGCAACACAAGCTTCCGTCTTCAGGTGGAACCGTCACAGCACGATAGCTGTATCAAGTGAGAGAAATTCCAAGAAAACAGGATTTGTATATATACTGGTTGAGGGTGGGAGAAGCCAAGGTAGGCCATGAATATTAATTTTGTGGGGTTCGGTGCGGCTGAAGCACGCTGTTAGGAATGAGCCTTTGTTGTGTAAACTAGGTGCGGATGATGTGCTTCAGCCGCACCGAACCTCACAAAAATAATATCCAGTGCCTACCTTGGCTCCTCCCACCCTCAACCAGTATATATACAAATACTGTTTTCTTGGAATTTCTCTCACTTGATACAGCTATCGTGCTGTGATGGTTCCACCTGAAGACGGAAGCTTGTGTTGCCTCCGAAACGTCGTGATTTTTATCTTATTTTTATTTTACTTTTATTAATTTTAAATTTTTACCTACGTGACTTTACCGAAAAAACCTAAGAATATGAATCCTTGCAGTCACGAAAGCTTCAAATCTAGAATTAGGTTTTACCCTTTCTGGCAATAAAACAGCTGTGTTAAGATGTTCAAAATACCAAACGTAAACCCTTTGCAAGGAATTACGTCTGCATTGACAACGCGTACTTGTGGTGAACAATGTAAACAAAAACATGCTCTGATAATATATGCATTGTCTTTGAAGCTGATTGGGCTACACCAGAGACAGCTTTCTTTAGAGCCTAGTCTCAAACGGTGTTAGACCAGAGGACTCCAAAGGGCGAACAGCACAAAGAGAATGCACTATCAGGATATCGAGAGCTCGGAGTGAGCAGCTACATTATGGGACCTCCCTTGCCAGTATCAAAATATGAGAATTAGGTTTTCCCCTTTCTGGCAATAAAACAGTTGTGTTAAGATGTTAAAACACCAAACTAAAACCTTTTGCAATGAATCATGTCTGAATTAACCGCATATACTTGTGGTGAATATACAAGCAAAAAGGATGTTCTGACAGTATATGCATTGTCTTTGAAGCGGATTGGTCCACACCAGAGACAGCTTTCTTTAGAGCCTCGTCTCAAACAGCGTTAGACCAGAGGACTCCAAAAGGCGAACAGCACAAAGACAGCGCCA